ATTAATACATAATTACTCTAAATTTTATTTTATTTTTACGACAAACTAATTTTGAATTAAACAGAAATGTTATTCAAAACTTAGTTGTTTGCCGTCAATGTCAGCGGCTCTGGATTTGCGCAAAAAATAAGATTACACTAAAATATTTGTTTTTAAAAATGAAAGTTTTATATTTTGAAAACATTACAAAAACCTGGCTTTCGAGACAAGTATACATTTCTTAATTAAGTTTTTAATTTAAATAATAAATCATAATAATAACAGTAATGAAAGTATAGTCACGTCATATCGTATTCAATCACGTTATCATATAATGCTATTTTGGCAAAAGTATTTTATTTATAGTAGTTTTTTATAAACTGTTTTAATCAATAATTTATTTAAAAGTTTTATTTAGTGTCCAATTATTATATCATAAGAAAATCGGAAGACATGTCCACAAGTCATATGAATGTTAAGTCTTCTGATATTCTTACGACAAAACTAAATGTTGATTTAAGTTTAAATTTTTATTTACTTTATCAACATTGCTAAGTTAAAAACTTAATATAAAATGACTGAAATGGCAAAACTAATTAAGATTTTTTAATTAAATCTTTTTACACTAGTGTTCAACATTGAGACAACTGACTATTTTGTGGGAATATTTTGTTTGTGCGTAAAAATTTGTTGCAAAATCTAATAACAAATAACAATAACTTAATAAAAGAACCCTTTATGTGATTCTCTACAATCTTNAACAAATAACAATAACTTAATAAAAGAACCCTTTATGTGATTCTCTACAATCTTCAGATTAACACAGAAATACAGAATATTGTGTTATTTTTTCCCAAAAAAGGGAAAACTATTTAATTTGTGTTTTCAATAGAAAGCGAAAAAATAATAAAATACCGAAAGCCGCACGACACTGTCATTATATTGAAATTAAGAAATTGCTAGAAAATATATACAGTATTTGTTTCGCATATAACTTATAATAATTTTAAAAAGCGCATACAAGTGCTAAATAAATTCAAGTGACACTTATTGGCAAAAATGTATTTACGGGTCAAATACTGGAATTACATAAGCTTTGTGATCGTGTCGCTGATCCGAGTGATTGTGCATATCTATGACATCATAACACTTCCAGTCTATGCGCTAATCCAGAAGCCGTGGATTGTCAAGAAAAAGGCTGATGCCATACGAGCCCAGCCTATCAATGGCCAGTGGGAGCTGTTGGGCGAGGGGGCCAAACATTTTCTACACGATTGCCGTACAGTGGATGAGGCCATCAGGAAGTCGATTGACTATAACGGCAAAGACAAGCCATGTCTGGCCTAAATGACAATAATAAATCCCTTTTCGTTGTTTTGTTGGTCCACTCTATCGATTATATAAGTCATAAAGTCTTTGATATATTTGTTTAATTTCGTAATCTTGAGGTTGACTTTGATTCTCATGTAGATAACGGTGGTGCCCTCCCTGTCCACGTTATACGTGAACATCCCTCCGATCTCATAGAACTCTTTGGGGATATCCGTCTCCTTCTTGTAATTAATATCCGTCTCTTTACGCCATTTCATGCATTTGTCGAGTTTGTCGAGGGCTGAGTTGAAATGGTATCTCTCTGTCCGCAAAAAGCGCCAAACCGTCCAATCATTGGACTTAACTTTCCTGATATCGCACTCGTCGTACAGTTCCGGCGCCTCAGAGTAACGGCTCGTCAGAAAAGTTTCTCTCAGTTCTCGCACTTCAGGCAAATGTCTTCTCATCGACTCCTCGACAGACATTTTCGACCAAATTTTTTCCAACAAAAAATCAAATTGTTTTGTATAAACAAAAAATGTAACACAAAGGTTAACAATTAAGCAATAATTTCACATTTTATAAACACAATATAAAACTTTTTGGCGAGTTTTGTCAAGCCATTGATATTCACAATAATAAAAAGGAAAAGTGAATAATATTTTGTGTTTCAAAGCATATCTATAAACAGATAATAAAAGAAGTTTGCGTTCAAATGATGTCTAAACCACTAGACATAGATTTTTTGCCGTTAAGCGAAAGTGAATAAACACTTATATATTTAATCGTTAAATATTTAAACTTCAAATTCAAATACCTCTTCCAATACTACTTTCCCTAAACTTTTAAACTTCACTCCAATTTGTGGTATTTTCTGTGCAAAAGACGAGGCGTTTATAATTATTTCGCATTATTTTCTATGGAGTCGTTTGTTGAGCGAAAAAAAAGTTTAGCCCACTTTCACCTAACACTCAGGTGCTCGCAGTTAGCTAACACATTATGTAAGTTATAAGTAAACAAACATTTTTCCTCTTATTTTAAATATAAGGTCATCCCAGGTATGGAAATGGGAGAGAGAGAGAGAGAGAGAGAGAGTGAGTGAGTGAGTGAGAGAGA